GCCACTGCACTCCAGTTTGGGTGACAGAGTGAGACTCCAACTCAAAAAAAAAAAAGAAATTCTCCTGCCTCAGTCTTCCACAGTGCTGGGATTTCAGGTGGGAGCCACCATGCCCAGGCACTTTAAATAGTTTTATGGTTTACAAAGTACTTTCACAGATATCATCTGTCTCATTTGATCTCTCACTTTTATTTATCTATTTATTTTGATTTTTTTGGGTTGGAGTCTCACTCTGTGGCCCAGGCTGGAGTGCAGTGGCATGCTCACGGCTCACAGTCATCTTCCCTGGGAGACCCTCTGAGATGCCAGCTCTCATGCCAGGGTTTTACAGCCTCCTATAAACTTCCTCAGGGCACTTAGCACCATATCTTGGCAACTGTTTGCTTATTGGCTTTCCCACCAGAAAGTAGATTGAGACTAGGGGCTTTCTTTCCTTTTTTTTTTTTTTTTAAAGACAAGAATCTTGCTCTTTTGCCCAGACTGGAGTATAGTGGTGTAATCATAGCTCACTGCAGCCTCCAATGCCCAGGCTCAAGTGATTCTCCTGCCTCAACCTCCAGAGTAGCTAGCTGGGACTACAGATATGTACCACATCTGGCTAATTTTTAAAAAATATTTTGTGAGGATGTTATGTTGCTATGTTGCTCTTAAACTCCTGGCCTCAAGCCATCCTCCCACCTCAGCCTCATTACAGGTGTGAGCCACTTCATCTGGCCAGGGACTGCTTATTCTTTACTGGGTCTATTATGCCTAACACAGAACGGGTGGCCTTTATGTGTTTGCTGTACGGATTGACTTTATGTCTTAACCAATGTTCGGTTACCCACAGCAAAAAACATTTTATAAGAAAACTGAAACAAAAGTTTCATAGACAATATTTACCCTTGCTGTGTGTGCTCTTCTATACTCTTTTTTTTTTTGGAGTTGGAGTTGGAGTCTCACTGTTGCCCAGGTTGGAATGCAGTGTCACACACGCTCACGGCCACCACAGCCTCGACCCGCTGGGCTCCAGCGATCCTTCTGTCTCAGCCTTCCAAGTAGCTAGTACTACAGGCGTGCGCTACCGCACCTGGCTAATTTTTGATTTTATTGTAGAGACAATGTCTCACCAAGTTGCCGGGGCTGGTCTCGAACCTGCAGGTTTAGGCAATTCACTTGCCTCGGCCTCCCAAAGTGCTGGAATGACAGGCTGAGCCACCAAGCCCAGCCTCTGCCACTTTTTTATTGCCTGTGCAGTATTGTATTGTTTCCTTTTTTTAAAGATACTAGCCATGACCCAGTAAATTGATTTCACTACCTACCACTGGGTTGTGACCCAGTGTTAGAACAATACCCCGTTCACCTCCCATCTGCTGTAGGTGCCTACTATGTGCAAGATTTTGGCTGTCCCTAAAGATACAGAGGACATGACCCTCAAACACCTCTTACTCCAAGGTCAGACAGGTTTATGTGTAACAGAACCCAGCAAGGAGGGGGGAATGAGGGAGGAGGGGTGGCTGAGGGGAGGTCCCTGGGAGGCCTGGGAAGGACCCTTGTGCCTCTGGAAAAAAGCAGTGGCAACTTGCTGGAGCCTGGAACCTCAAACAGGCAGGGCTCTTGATACCGTGAGCGTCTCACTGCTCTGTCCCCAGGTGACTAAGAATGGGTCTCGACTCCAGAAAACTCTCGGGGGTCATGGCAGGCCTCTTTCCTGCAGTTAAGGTGCTCAGGGAGGGGGGAGACAAGAGGACCTCTACCTTCTGTCTAAAACAGTCTCACGAGCCTCCCCTCTAGAGGCCCTGACCCCATGATTGGCGGTATAACCCCAGGTAGTTCATTTAACTAGGTTCAGGGGAGATGGCCGAAGCCAGGCTTCTCTAGGCCTGAAACTGCTCCCAAGAGACAACCCACTGACTCTCCTGGTTATCTGCCTGCTCTATCCCATTTCCCTGACCTCTCTGAGGTGGGTGGGAGGCAGTTTGGAAACAGCAGCACTGTCCCTGCTCCCCCGGAATGCTGCAGCAGGGGGAGAGTAGAATGGGCTTGCACTAGGTGGCTGTGCCTGTCTGTCCCCTGTGGCTGTTGAAGTCAGATTGGGTGTTCCCCAGCCAAGGCCAGGGAAGGTCCTGATTGCA